AGATCAAACATTGCAAGTAGACAATACTACATATAATGTTAATAATGAAATAATACACTGTTGTGTCAGTGCCCTAACATATTTAATTACTTTCCTCATTTTGGGAGGACCTCATTCCTGGAGGTCACCATGGGTTCTTCTTTCATTTCCTATTTATGCCTCAGCCTCCCAAGTAGCTGGGACTACAGGCATCCACTACAATGCCCGGCTATTTTTTCTTGCAATTCTCATTGCTGTTTTAGCTGGCCGGGGCTGGGTGTTATTTTTAGCTTTCCTCTATTACAAGCAATGTGGTAGAGGATATTCTTACACATAAATATTTGCCCGGAAGTCTAGAATATATTCCTAGCTGTAGTATTTGGTCTGAATGTAAAAACACTAGTAAAGGTTCATGTTGCCATAGTGAAACAATATCTAATAAAGAGATGAAAAGAGAAAAGAGAAAACGAAGGAAAAAGAATAAAGACAATGGGACTGGAGAAAGGAAAGGGACAAAGAATAAGCTAGGTAAGGACTGCAGCAGGCACAGAAGAAGGCATCTTCTTGGTCTGCCTTGGCCTTGGGGCTTGTGCCAACAGCAGGTTTTCAGTCCTAGGCGTGATGGTGATGGGTCACAGAAAGTGTTTGACAGATGAGATGGCTGATGGGGTGGTGACCCAGGATCAGAGCAGCCCTGTCAAATGGGGCCAGGTGGTTGCCCAGCTTCCCTGAAGTGAGGAATGTAGGCCCTCCTCCCTTGGATATGCTAATGAAGGACAATGTAGATGGGTAGCTAGTGCCTCAGATCTTGAGAATCTGAGAGTGGCTTTCTGGAGAAGCACCCACTGTATGACTTTGTGACTGGATCAGGGGATTCCTGCTGAGCATTTGTAAAGGTAGCTCCCTGGAGGTCACCATGGGTTCTTCTTTCATTTCCTGTTTGTGCCAAGGACTTATAGTCCAGAGACACAAGAGTGGGAAATAACTAGTTATTCAGTAATGACCCACCATATTCAGTGGCTGTGAGGAAGACAACAAGGTCACTGAATCTCTTAATAAGCAGTTAGTCCAGGGCAGCGCCTGTGGCTTAAAAGGGTGGGGCACT